CAACCACGTTTGCACTGAAATGGTGTTGCATAACATGGAGAAACATTTCAAAGTGAGGAGAGTACACCAGTATATATTCTAGCGCAGTGATGGCGAACCTTTTAGAGACTGAGTGCCCAAACAGCAACCCAAAACCCACTTATGCATCGTTGAGTGCCAGATGGGCGTGACCTATTGTGTGGGTGTGGCCCATTGTGTGGGTGTGGCCCCTTGGGTGGGCATGGCTGCGATGGTAACGGCAGACTGGGTGGGACTAAAAAGTTCCATCAATCAATTCCAACTTTGCAAGATCTTTTTTTTCCCCGCAAGAAGTTGAAATTGACTGATTTTTTCTTTTTTTTGTACACGGCGGCGGAGGCCTAAAGCGAAAAGGTTTTATAAAACCCAGCTGAAGGCCTAGGACTGGGGCGATGGCGCGTGTGCCCACAGAGAGGGCTCTGAGTGCCGCCTCTGGCACCCGTGCCATAGGTTTGCCACCACTGTTCTAGCGTCACATCATTATTACTGAGATACAGTGTAGAAACAAAAGTCCCACAGAAGTGTATGCAATTGCCTACAATTTTACACAGTAGTATAATACTCCATATGAAAAAAAGTAACTGGAGAATTTGACTGGAAAGCTTAAACAAATAAAACATGCTACGGTGAAAAGGTGTTTTGTAAATTATAAGAAATAAAATTAACATTAGAAATGGAACTTTATGCCATCTTTCTTGCTTGGTTCTAATCTAATCCTGTGTTTAATATTTGAGAGTGCATATTTTTAATATGAAAAAAGGAAATTTGGAGTAGGAGGGAGCATGAAATGCTTAGCTGTCCACATTTTTTCGCTGAGTACTACAGGTAGCATGCTGTTGTGTACAATCTGTACTTGTTTTCATCTCTCTTAATGTTTTGCCTGGTGCAAGTGAATCATTCTTAATGCATAGGCTTATGCATGTTTACTTAAATGTAATTGAGTTTGGTGGTATTTCCTTCAAAGGGCTGTGTGAGCAAGACAGACAGGCTAGAAATAGTAAATTAAAGAGTGGGCATAGGATAGCACCTTCAGATTAATTTTTAAAGGAATAAATTTGTGCTATCTTTCTATTTTAAATCTCCCAGGCTTTTTTTCCAGGCAGTTGATATTAGAACATGCTTATGTGTTCAATTCAGTTGGAAATTTTTTGGTGCAAGCTATATTAAAAGGAGAACTATTGTGCTCTTATTTGACTCCAGTGACCCTTGTACAGGAGAATTTCTTATCGTGTAATAACTTTGCCTATTGGGTTATTTGGAGATCTCTTAGTTTGTAAAATAGTGAGGATCAATAATAAAAGTTTCATACTTAAATGAGCAATATTCTTCTTTTAAAATGACTTCTTCCCCAAAAAATAATAAACATTTTTCAGGATCCTACTGATAAGCCCCGTTTCCTTAATTGTGTTATCAGAATTAAAGAAGAAGAAAAAGAGGCAGATAGAAATGTATGATCCAAAATCCATACGAGAATAAAAGAGTCGGTAATCAGGTCCATAAGTTCTGTATTTTAATCTGTATTTTATGATATACAGTAATAATGAAGTAAGATTATTCAATAAATATGTTGTTTCAAAGTACAGATTCTTCATCTGATATGACTGTTGTCTGGACTTTTAACATTTTGCCAGTTGAAAGCTTGCCACTTTGTGTGAAATTTCCATTGGCCTGATAAAATTATTGCCATTATAGGGGTTACTGTTACTAGAATATTTCCCTGCATCTACTGACTTCAGCAGAATTGTGATTACTCTATAATATTAGCATTTGTTTTCAGAACTTCCCATTCCATATTTTCTCCATCTTAGCTATCCTTTGTTGGCACTGATTATTACTACTCTTTTACAAATAAGTTACAATACATAATTGAACTTGTTATATTCAAGGCTTTGTTGGAAAACAATCAAAGATTTCAGCTCTATATGAGTATTATCATTGTCTTACACAAACATCCTAATTACTGAGTCTTTCTGTGCTTAGAAATTCCATCCTGGACAGTTTTATATTACCTCTGTCCTCATTCAACCCTCCTTTAAAAACCACAAGTGGAAACCTTGGGCTTGATTTTTTAGTCTTCAACCTCAACAAAATCTAATTGGGTAGAGTTTTATGTGTCCATACTCTTCTCATAGCTTCTTCCTTTTTTTAGCTTATTTTCTTTGTCATTGTAAAAAAAGCAGATTTTAAGCTGTTGTACCAAGTAGGAAAAGTCAATTTTAGTCAAATAGATAAATTATGTATCCTCAAAGAGAATACAGTTTCCACTTGGGTATTGTAAATCTTCTCAGTCTTGTTTATGATCTCATAGCTAAATGGCTAAATTTGATATTTTCCAAGTCACATGAAACCCCAGCACAAACTACATTGGCATTGGGAAAGAAAGCCCAAATCTTTCTTTCTCTCTAATCTCTCTCTCTCCTTCATTTTCCCCTTCCCCTTCCCCNCCCTCCCTCCCTCCCTTCCTTCCTTCCTTCCTTCCTTCCTTCCTTCCTTCCTCTTAGTCAATGGCTTACAATTCAAACATATATATTACAATGAAAATACTAAAAACATTTTAAAATAATAGAAACATCCAATATATATATATTTGTTTTCGTAGATTTTCATGGGTACAGGTATGCAGGTCTTGGCGTATTCGGGTCTTTTCCCATGTAAGATTGAGAGTACCTCGTCGAAACGTTGCCAAGATACTCTCAATCTTACACGGGAAAAGACCCGAATACGTCAAGACCTGCATATATATGTATGTATGTATGTATGTATGTATGTATGTATGTATGTATGTATGGCTTTGGGGCCATTCTAATCTCCAGTGGGGGGATGTTCCATAGAGCAGGGGCCAATGTGGAAAAAACCCATCTTCTAGTCCCTGCCAACCGACACTCTTTGGCTGACAGTAAAAATATTGAGGTAACTGACTAATACTGTATTAGACCAACTGAAGGTTCACAAATAGGCCCAAATGTCCCAGAATTCAATTCAATGTATTGGTGAATAATACAACATTATTAGAGGACTGTCATTGTTGCCAAGAAAGCTGAAGGTGTGAAGAAATATCTGAATTGTTAGGTCATGTGAACACAAACCTCATTTTAAATGGCTTCGTTGCTATAGGCGGACTTGATCCAAGCGATATAGGCAGCACTTCTCATGCCATGTAAAATGGTGCTTCATATCTCACTGTCAGATTAAATAAAAGAGGCTGAAAAGAAGCATGAAAGGTGGGGGTTTGTGCAAGCCCAGATCCTGCAAATGGTTACAAAAGCTTTATTATTATTTTTTTTTTTTGAGATACATATGAACCATTTGAATGCCAATAAAGTTGTACCAGGTTAATATTTATACTGCACTACTGAGGACACACTTGGAATACTATGTCTAGTTTTGGTCTAGAATAGATGATACAAAAAAAGATGTTGATACTTTAGAAAGAGTGCAGAGAAGAGCAACAAAGATAATAAGGGATCCCAGGCTAAACCATACAACAAATGGCTAAGGGAACTAGGTATGTCTAGTCCAGGGGTAGGCAACCTTGGCTCTTTTATGACTCGTGGACTTCAACTCCCAGAATTCATGAGCCAGCTGGTCTAGTCTAACAGGGAGAAAGACAAGGGGTGATATGATAGTATCTTCTAATGCTTGAGGGGCTGTCGAGAGAAGAGGAGGCCAATCTATTCTCCAAAGCACTTAAGGGTAGGACAAGAAGTAACGGGTGGAAGATCCAACCTAGAGTTAAAACCTAGAAGTAAGGAGAAACTTTGTGACAGTAAGAACAATTAATCAATGGAATAGCTTGCCTTCTGGAGTTGTAGGTCCTCCATCACTGCAGGTTTTCAAGAAGAGATTGGAAAGCCATATGTTGGAATGATGTAAGGCAGGGGTGTCAAACTCAATTTCATTGAGGGCCGTATCAGCATTGCGGTTGCTCTTGGGGGGCTGGGTGGGTGCGGCCTACTGGGTGGGCGTGGATGGAGTGGGTGTGGCCTTCTGGGTGGGCATGGCCAGCACTACATCGTTCGTGTCAAGGGTGCCTGTGGGAGCCTGGGCAGGAATGGGACAGATCTGAGGGTCTCTGGCAGAAGGGGGTGGGACCGGGGCAAGCGCCAAGGCATGGTGCATTTCTTCATTCCTCACAAAGAGTGACACCTCCCCAACATGCACCCAGGGGGCGGGGCCGATGCAGCAGAGGCTGGTTCCTCGCTGTTTCTGGATGGCCTTGTGGAGCTAAGACTGAATGCATTTCAGCATAGATGGCCACCACCACAAAATTGTACATTGGCTCCCGGCCGGCCTGGGCCAGGGCCAAGGCAGAGGGGGGCGTTCCCTCACTGTTTCCAGGATGGCTTTGCGGGCCACATGAAACCACTTCACGGGCCGCATCTGGCCCCCGGGCCTTGTGTTTGACATGTCTGATGTAAGGTGTCCTGCTTGAGCAGGAGGTTGGACTGAAAGACTCTAAGATCCCTTCCAACCCTATCATTCTTATGTTCCATGTTCTATTTTCTCTGTCATAGCACTAACATGGTGTCTGTTGATGGAGTCAAGGTTATTTAGGAATTTACACGGTTATATGTAACATGGATTAAACAAATATTAAAGCTACTTTATATTGAAATTCTATATTCAGAATGATATTGAACAAGACAATATAATTAGACCGCAAATAGCTATTATAATAAAAGCTGCAAAATAAACATGCAGAAACAACCACAATTAAAGTGTCAGCATCTCTTGGCATTTTAAGCCATTAATAATGTTATCAGTTATGGAGAAAATGAATTGTAAATAAATAATATTCTGGTTTTCCTCCATTATTGTAGAAATATGTAAATTGGTGACATTTCAGAGAGAAGCTTTAGTATGCCATCTAATATGCACTTTTAAGTTTTAAATAGTTTTATTGAACAGTCTGAGTCTAATTCATATAACATTTTCTAACTTTTTTTCCCCCCAACCATATTTTCTGTTTTAGAAATTGTCCGGAACTCATTGCATACCTGGATAAGGTTTCTTGCTGACTAGTTTTTCTGAGGAGTGTAATTATTTGAGGCTCTTACCTCAATCCCTCAAGGAATAGCAGAGTGGGAAAAGGTACTAAAGTTAATGTTTTCATCCACCCGGACGAAGGAGAATGGGGACCCTACACCCAAAAGAATGAAGACTCGACAGAATAAAGATTCTGTAAGTGAGATGAAATAAAAAATAAGAATATATAATAAGAATAAAAAGAGCTTTATTTTATTAAGAACATAAAAGTCCCTGGTGTTAGACCAGATGCCTGCGAGAGAGAATACATTTAGAAAATAACAGAAGCATTATATAGAAGTATTGGCAATCTTTAGGAATGTCTAGGGATTCCTAAATTTAAATAGTCGGGGAGCTATTGAAGTGTAAACATTTCATTCATGAGTACAGGTAGTCCTCAATTTAACGACCACAAACAAGCTCACAATTTTTGTTGCTAAGTGAGATACTTGTTAAGGGAATTTTGGCCTATGTTATGATTTTTCTTGCCACAGTTGTTAAATGAATCACTGTAGTTATTAAGTTAGTAACATGGTTGTTTGTCAGAAGGTGGCAAAAGGGGATCACATGACCCCCCCCCCCAGAATGCTGCAATTTTCATAAATATGAATCAGTTCCAAGCATCTGAATTTTGATCATGTGACCATAGGGATGCTGCAACGGTCATAAGTGTGAAAAATGGTCATAAGTCACTTTTTTCAGTGCCATTGTAATTTTGAATGGTCACTAAAGGAACTGTTGTAAGTCGAGGACCACCTGTACCTGATACAGTAAAGAGGCTGGGGTGTGGATTGCCGTGGTTCAATCATGAAAACATAGTGGATGAGTTTTTCCAAGTGAATAAAAGTTTCAAGGCTTTCTGGATTAATATGTTTATATTTGATTCTGAGTGATTTATGGGGTCCAGATGGAAATAAGCATTAAAGTGTCTTGTCTCTGTCATCTTGAGAATAGCAATAGAAAAATAGTAAGAAAATAAAACTACTATTTTATTTATACTGTAGTTACAGAATTTTGATTAAGTAATAATTCATCTTTGAGGTTCTACAATAACTGCAAATTTAATATAACAAAAGACACACTCCACAAAGTTCAGTATAAAGTAATGCTACTTAGCCATTCCATAAAAAGAATTATTAATCACTCCTTGAGGGAAAGTTTTTTTTTTAAAAAAAAAAATCTTATTCCTTTCATCTTGTATTAGTAAACCTGAGCCAAAATTACCTTCAAAAAGAAAGTACCGGTAATATGTCCTTGAATTTCTACTGTGTCTATTCTATTAACAAACATTGGGTTCCACCAAATGATGAATGGATGCTTTAATCATCCTCAAATATTTTTGAAGATCTTGCCATTTGGTTTCTAGACACTGGCAAACATTCTGCAATTCATGGATTGGCCAGGTTTGAGGATCTCCCTTAGGGCACATCTAGAACATGCATAGACAGATATTGTTAGATTCTACAAGGAAAGAAAAGCAGAAGTAGGAAAGTTTTTCTGCCATGAGCAAGTTTTATGAACCATACAGGATCAAAACCAGACCTTTAATGATAATCAACAATTTAAATCTGATTAAAATAGACAATCTAAGATAATTTGTCCTCTTCATTACTTTAAGCTAACCTATACAACTTCAACTTCCAAGCTTATCAGCTGTAGCACTAAGTACCTAACAATATACTGGTTTTGCAGTATAAGACAGCATAACCAGGAAATAACTGTACACGGATGGTAATCATCCGTGCCTTAATTTAGCAGACCCCTGTATTTCACTAAGGCGGGGGGGGGGGAATGTATGACACCAAATTGTTCTCCCACACTGAATCAGTAGAAAGCATGTAATGAGAAGAAGTGGTTGTAAGACAGTTTGCACTTTTTTATACACCCCAGAGCTACAAAATTCCATTCAGATATTTTTATTTTAAACCTACACCACATGAAATGCACAGTATTTTGCTATTAATAATGCTTAATGTAAAGTCTTTCCCTTGCCTCACCTGGTAAGCAATACTTTAGACAAACATCTGTAAAGACAAAATCATTGTAGACAATGGGATTGATTGAGCTGTCCTGCCTGGAGATTTTGAATCCAGATACAAAGATATTTGGGGGAGGGGAAAAATAGCTCTATGCATGATGAAAATCCAAACTGAGAAGAGGCAGAGAAGTTCAGATCAGGAGACAGGGAAGAATGGGAAGGAGGTGTAAAAACCTGAAATAAAATAATTGCCTGTTTTCTCAAAAGATGTCAATGAGGAGTGGTCGAAAGAAGGAGACTCCGGGGCCCCGAGAGGAGCTCAGAACACGGGGTCGAGCGTCTCCTGGTGGTGTCAGTACTTCCAGCAGTGATGGCAAAGCTGAGAAATCGCGACAAACTACCAAGGTAGAATTTTCAGCTGTTTGCAAGAACATTTATTAGAGTTTGAAGGTCCTTCCTCTTTAAGGCAATTATTGTTTATTTGTTAATCCACATAACCTCCACCATCAGTTGCCTAATCTGCCCTAAATCCGATTGGGTGTTTAGCGGTCTGATACTTTCTCGGCCAGGACATTAATCTGTGCAATACTGGAATCTCCTGTGTGATTCAATTAACCTTACTTGCATGTGAATTATGCTACATTTTCTGCAGCTAAACAGAAAATTTAACATTGAAAAAAATGATATTTACTTTTTTTTGCCCTGCAATATGTCCCTTCCCCTGTGTCCATTTGTCTTGCAGAAAGGTCGTGTGGAAGAAACAATGGCCCCTAAAGGAAGCAAGCAAAGTCGATCAGAGGAGATTTCGGAGAGTGAAGGAGAGGATACCAATGCTGCAAAGAAAACTAAAACAGAAGTAGGTTTTTTCCCTACAACTCTTCTTCCTCAGGATGGCTCAGCTCCAAACATCCCCAGATTGTTTTCCTAAGCTCATCTAGCCAAGAACCGACCTAGAAAAAAGGAGAAATTTCCTGACAGAACAATTAGGCGGTGGAACTACTTGCCTCCAGAAGTTGTGGATACTCCAATACTGGAAGTTTTAAAGAAGAGACTGGACATGTCTGAAATGGTATAGGGTTTTCTACCTGAGCAGGGGGTTGAACTAGAAGACCTCCAAGGTTCCTTCCAACTCTGTTATTCTGTTAAATATTCACCTCTGGTCTATCATGCTATTTGACAGTGGTGGTTATATTTTCCATTCCTTATCAAGATAGCTGATTATTCACACACAAATGAGGCAGCATTTCCTATACCTAATTGCAATTCTTCTTTTAACATAGCTCCCTAGCTCCCTACCTAGCAAGGTCTCTTTTAATATCCCTGAAAGAGTATCTGCTGAGTATTCATTGCTTTTCTTAAATCTTAGGAGCTGCCAAGACCACAGTCCCCTTCAGATGTGGACAGCCTAGATGGCCACAGCTTCAACGATGAGACAAGCAGTGACCCACGAGACATTGACCAAGATAATCGAAGCACCTCTCCCAGTGTCTACAGCCCTGGCAGTGTGGAGAATGATTCTGATTCCTCCTCTGTGCTTTCACAAGGACCCCCTCGCTCTTATCATCACCCCCCACTCTTTCCCCAGAGCCCCTCACCAGCTGCCCTGACAGAGGGCCTTGCACGTCCCCCAGAAGCCAGCTTCAGCTTACCAGGGGAGGTTCATCCTCAGGGCCCCCCAAGTGGTTACCAATCTCAAATTGAAGCCCAGGCTTCAAGGATTTTCCAGGCGCAGGGTCAAGCCCCCCCAGTTCCCACTCCTTCCACTAACTCATCCTCCTCCCCCTCTTCTTCGTCCTCTTCGTCCTGCACTATGCACGCTTCTCTGTACCCCAATGCTAATGTGGTCCAACTGGGGCCCAAAGTTGTGAGTGCAGGAGTGGGAATACCAACACCAAGCGTGCGTGAGCAGTCCCTCAGTGCTAAGCACAACCCACCCCCAACTACTCCTATTTCATTAACCCCTGTGGCAGGGGGCTTGCCTCCTCAGAAGACACCTCCAAACAATTCCCCATCAATAATTCCTTCATCTGCTGCCACTTTCCCCCATGTGCTAGCCAATCTGCCCCCCCCTCCAGCTCTGCGCCCTCTCAATAACATGACTGTGACCTCCAGCTCACCAGGGGTGGTGGGGCAAGCATTAAGTGGACATCTTTCATCGCCCCATGCAATAGGGCAGGATAAGTCACCCGTCCCTTCTCGTTATCCCTATGCCCCCCCTCCTCCTCCACCTCCCAGCTCTTCTGCTCAGTATCCCCTCCCTCCCCCTTCCCAGGCATTACCCAGTTACAGCTCATCATACGGCCATTCCTTTCCACCGCCCAGCAGCCTCTCTGTATCCAGCCAACCACCCAAGTACACTCAGCCCTCCATGCCCTCCCAGCCTGTATGGAGTCAAGGCCCACCACCATACAGTCGCCCACTAGGGAACACTAACTCTCACCCTCCTGCCTCCTTTCCTGGTCAGCCCACACATCACCAGCAGCAGCAGCCGCAGCCGCAGCAGCAGCAGCAGCAGCAGCACCATCACAACCACAGCAATGGTGCTGGTCTCTCTCCAGCAGCAGTTGCCACATCCCAGACATCTGGTAGTTATTCCCACCCATTAGAACCAGGTCCACATCATCCTCCTCATGCTGCCTATGGGCTACGCCTCTACCCACCCCATAGCCATGCCACATACAGTCAGGCTCCTTCTGCATGTTCCTCCTCTTCCTCCTCCTCCTCCTCTTCTTCTTCCTCCTCCTCTTCCTCCTCCTCCTCCTCCTCCTCATCATCACAGGGGACATTCTCCGGACTCTGTAGCCACCCTCAAGGGCAGAGCACAGCCACCTATGCCTTTCCACCACCCCCTTCACCTTCACCTGCACATGGGGCTGGACCCCCAGTCACTTCTGCTTCAGTTACCCTCTCCACTGTCATAACTACAATGGCCTCTTCTTCCACAGCTCCGTATAAGACAGCATCACCTCCAGTTGGAGCCCCAACCACAGCTCCTTACGGGAAGCGCACAGCTTCTCCATCTCCTACTTTCCAGCCGCCAGCCCCGTACAAGCCAGGCTCTCCTCCTGCATCCTCGGCATCCTCCTTCCGTGTAGCCACACCCCCAGGATACCGATTAAGCTCTTCTCCGGCAGCGGGCGGCTACAAGGCTTCCTCACCAGCCCCCATTGTCCCTCCTGCCTCTGGAAGTATGGCTGCCCCCGCCCCGCCCTTGCCTCCCTTGCCACTCAGTGCTGCACAAATCAAGCAAGAGCCTTCTGAGGAATATGAGCCCCCTGATAGCCCAATGCCTCCAATTCGGAGTCCTTCCCCAGCTCCCAAAGTGGTGGATGTACCAAGTCACGCCAGCCAATCAGCCAGGTAAGGAACCACAAGGAAACGGGATGGGGAAGGGAGATCCAAGTGGCTGGGGCCAGGGAACTCCTCCTTTGACCAATCGGATTTGCAGAATTCAGCAGAACAGGACGGTGATGTAGAAGATTTCTTCCATGAAAGCTGAAAAAATCAGAAAGTGGGGTTGGAATACCCCTATAGGGACAGAGTTCGCCCATTGCCCCATGGCCATGCACATTTAATTGATTTCTATTCGTACATCACCCATTTCTAAAAGCTCTGCATATGACAGAGCTTGTTAAAATCTCAAAAGTTAGAACCGCTGTTGGAAAGGAATTTCTGATGGACTTTTTATAAATCATAGTGCTTTGTATGGCTTCTGCATTTTACCCCTCTATTCAAGAAATAGACGCAGAATGTTTTTCTTTTTACCACCCTTTAATCCCTTTTATCGGGGTGGCGTCAGGGTGACTGAATGGAGCTGAGCGTTTATAACCAGGAGCCCTTCCTGAATGCCCATGCGGAATTCGCAGCAGATATTTTCTCTTTGCATCCTGATAGAGAAATATCTGCCGTTGCCTAGGATTGAACTCTCAACATTCCAAGTGGGAGGCAAGCGCCTTCACCTCTAAGCCACTGCGCCACTCACAAGAAATTGAAGCAGAATAAACAATGCAAAATCTAAATTGTTGTGTCATTTGGCCTAATGCTTGCCATTTTTGCAGGTCAAATAATCTTGTACTGTTTTTCTTGAAGAATTGGGGTTTACCCAGGGTGAGTTCATGCGGAGGCTGAGATATTCGGGTTTCTCTCTCACCCAGATTCAACAAACATCTGGATCGTGGCTTTAATTCTTGTTCACGGACTGATCTCTATTTTGTGCCCCTGGATGGCTCCAAGCTGGCCAAGAAACGAGCTGATCTTGTTGAGAAAGTGCGTAGAGAGGCTGAACAGAAGGCCAGGGAAGAGAAAGAGCGAGAAAGAGAGCGAGAAAGGGAGAAAGAACGGGAAAGGGAGAAAGAAAGGGAACTGGAGCGAAGTGTGGTAAGTAAACGCCAGCTGCATGCAGAAACTCTTCCTTTGATTCTTGGCTTCCGCTCTGAAAGAATAATAGAAGCGCAACATCAGACAGATCCCTGTCAGAGGTTTTCAAAGAGCTGCTGCCAGTTAGAGTTGACTATGCTATCTATGTTTACTAACGGCCAAGTTTGTCAGAAGGTAGACGTGCTGACACGTATCACACAATACCCTTGGCAATCAGAACAAGTCTTGCTAAATGACCTATTTATTCTTCTGTTGCAGAAAGTTGCCCAAGAGGGCCGACCAGTGGATTGTCCATCTCTTGGCCCTGTTCCTCATCGCCCATCTTTTGAGCAAGGCAGCGCTGTAGCGACTGTCCCACCATATCTGGGTCCTGACACGCCAGCTCTTCGCACCCTCAGTGAGTACGCCCGGCCTCATGTCATGTCTCCAAGCAACCGGAATCACCCCTTCTATGTCCCGTTGGGTGCAGTTGATCCAGGACTGCTTGGTTACAATGTGCCAGCCATCTACAGCAGCGACCCAGCCACGCGGGAGAGAGAATTGCGAGAACGGGAAGCCCGTGAACGAGATCTCAGGGATCGCGACCTGCGTGAGCGTCTTAAGCCGGGCTTTGAAGTTAAACCAGCCGAGTTGGAGCAGCTCCATGCTGTGCCCAGTGCTGCAATGGATCCTTTCCCACGGCATGGGGGGTTGGCTCTCCAGGCAGGTCCAGGCCTCCATCCTGCTTTTCCCTTCCATCCAGGGCTGGGCCACCTGGAGCGAGAACGGCTAGCCCTGGCGGCTGGCCCGGCTTTGCGCCCTGACATGTCTTATGCTGAGCGATTAGCAGCTGAACGGCAGCATGCCGAGAGAGTAGCTGCTCTGAGCAACGACCCCTTGGCTCGGCTGCAGATGCTCAATGTGACTCCCCATCATCACCAGCACTCCCACATCCACTCCCACCTCCATCTCCACCAGCAGGACGCTATCCATGCAGGTGAGGAGATTCCTTGGCCTCCAGCACAGTCTGGAAATGTATATCTTTGGAACTGTTGAATTCTCACTAGAATGTCTTTGGAACCTCACCTGATTGGACACTTTAGCAGAAACAGATTGAACACGGAATTCCTGTGCAAGGGAAAACTAGCACGTCAGGGAGAACTCTGGGACTGAGCCGTTCTCCTTGAGGTGCTCATTTTCAGCTTACATGAATTGTTGGTGGGTGGAGCGTCTCTTAGTTATATAACACTTTTCTTCTTAAGAGCTCAGCAGCAGGTTTGCTTATCCCAGTGAGAATTAAGTCTCAGCAGCTGTGTTAGACCTATCACTCAGAAATGTCAGTGAATTAATTATAATCTCTGTATTTGTAACCTATGATTGATAACTAAAATTGAATTCTGAGTACCTCAAGAAAGCTTTCAAGGTCCCTTCCTTCCTTCCTTCCTTCCTTCCTTCCTTCCTTCCTTCCTTCCTTCCTTCCTTTCTTTGAGCTTTATCTTCCTTTTTTTTCTAATTTTGATGAAATCATGATTAGGACTATATACTCTATCTAAAGCAATAAGCAAACGGGCTAAGCTGTGGAATATTTACATACAAGTATTAATATGAGTATTTGCACAAACAAGACTGGGCCTTATCTCGGGCATGAATTGTCTGACTGCGAGGTAAGCCACTGTTCTTTCAGAATTGGCCTTTTATATAAAAACAGTGTTTTCATACCATATGGTAAGATTAGAGAAAGAATGTTTTATATATATATATAATTAATTAATCTGAATACAAGGAACTAGGCTAAAGTGCATTCGAATTCCTCATTTCCTACACATACCTTATAGCAGGGGTCCTCAACCCCCAGGCCGTGGCCCACTACCGGACCGTGAGCCATTTGGAACCGGGCCGCGGAAGTGGCGGGTGAGCGCCAGCCTGCATGCATCCCCACTTGCACGAGCAGCAGGCGCGCATGCCCGCCACTCGTGCAAATGGAGCTCTGTGTGCGCTTGCCCGCCGCTCACATGGAACCATCCGCTCTTCAGCCCCCCCCCCCACCGGTCTGCAAAGCCAGAAAGGTTGGGGAACTCTGCATTATAGTATTGTCCCCCTCCCCATTCTTCCGCCTTTACCTAAAAACTAATCTCTCCTCTGCAGCTTCTGCCTCAGTTCACCCTCTTATTGATCCACTGGCTTCTGGGTCACATCTCACCCGAATACCCTACCCAGCGGGCGCTATACCTAATCCACTTCTGCCTCACCCACTCCATGAAAACGAAGTGCTGCGCCACCAGCTTTTTGGTAAGAACTTTAAGGACTGGGGAAAATATGACGTCAACCAAGACAGAAAGGCATCTAGAATCTTTTTTTTGGTGGGGAAGGGGAGAAAATGGATTGGGAAAATGGGTGGGTGCCCAAGTCTGGAACAGAAGGAATGATAAGGAGAGGAACACCTTAGGGACTGGTGTTCTCAGATATATTCTTCATGAATTATCACTTTTAAAATAAGTCAAGTCTGTCACCTGTTTATTTTTAAACAGACTATGCAAGTTATGGAGCTGTCCACCTCAATTTTAAGATAGGCAGCTCAGTACACAAAACGGAAGCAAGAAATAAGCAACAAGGCAGTCTCCTAAAAATGATAATCCAGTCATACTATAGATTAGGGGTAGTCAACCTTGGCTCTTTTATGACTCGTGGACTTCAACTCCCAGAATTCCTGAGCCAGCCACGCTGAGGGGAAAGGGAGAGGTTCCAAGCTGAGCCATGCTGGCTCAGGAATTCTGGGAGTTGAAGTCCACAAGTCATAAAAGAGCCAAGATTGCCTACCCCTGCTATAGATGTCGAGCTCTTCTCCTTAAGGTCTCAGGTCTCAGTGCCTTAGAAAAATCCAGGTCTTTAAGGGTTTCCAGAAAGGGGGCAGGGAGAGTCAGGAGTATTTGCATTTCGGGGGGGGGGCTGACCCATAAGACAAAGAAGGGAGGTTTCCTAGTTCTCAGTGCTGTTTAACTGAAGGGACAGACTGTGCCTGCCCTGTCAGATCTGGTGGGACAGGCAGAAATAATCAGAGGCATGTAGTCCCATAAATAGTCTGAATTGATGTCTGGGAATACAAGGGGAAAGTAGGTAGTATTTTCCCCAAAGTACTTTCTAAGGATTATAAGCTGTTGTAAGCTTATGCTGATCCACAAGTGAAAAGCTAACTGACACCAGAACTGGTTTTCACCTGTATTAAAATTCAGTTTATTAAAATAATGAAATAAATGCATTTAAAATTGTGAGCCTATGGTGTAGGACTTGTGAGCAATATTCAAGAAAGACATTCCCCGGATCCAGACTGGAGTCTAGATGTAGTTTTGAAGGAAGATCAAAAATAGGGTCAACCGCAAAGAGAACAGCAGAGCATCTTTTGCCTGGGAGTGATACACAAAGGAAAACTTCTGCACATGTCTTTTCTTTGTGAAAAATTAGCCAGTGCTGACATTGACTCTTCTTTGTCCTATGGAAGGTAAAGAGACCTGAAATTCCTCTTTATATTGTGTTTTCCTAAGCAATGATCCCACGGCCCCTGAATTGGGTCCATGTTGGAACCAGTTGCAATTTATTGTTCTGTCTTTTTACTTTTGTCTGCAGCTGCCCCCTACAGAGACCTGCCTGGCTCTCTGTCTGCCCCAATGTCTGCAGCACACCAGCTCCAAGCTATGCATGCACAGTCAGCAGAGCTGCAGCGCTTGGCCCTGGAACAGCAGCAGTGGTTACATGCCCATCACCCTCTGCATGGGGTGCCACTTCCTACACAAGAGGATTACTACAGGTCAGTAGCATTTTAAGATGTGCACACATTATCTTGTTTTTCACAGAGTGAAAAGAGTCAGTTCAGACCAGGAGCTGGTGAATTCAGAAAGTGCTTTTAAATACAGCTTCCTATCTTTGCCTTAATTTGGCAGAGATTGGAGAGACATAAGACTTTGAACATAAAAAATTCCTAGAAACTTATTTGGTGTTCCTTGATCAGACTGGTAATATGAACAAGCTTCTCTGAAAGAGAGCTAGAATATTATCTCCTACCCAATGTTTCCGTATCTTATTATTGCATGAAAAATGATCCTTATTACTTGAGTAACTTAAAACATTCTCTATGATTATCTGCTGTTATTGGCAGATGAATTCATATGAATTTGCTAAAAGAGAACTTTTGAAAAATATAAATCTGGAATATAGTTGCATTATAATATTTCTTTCTCAGTAGATACTTCCATTGGTTAACTGGTTGATTGGTTGGTGCTTATTATTCAGAATCTGTTTTTTAAAGTTGCGCTCTGCTTCTTCTCAGGAAGAAGGCAACCCATTGTACAATATGAGAAGTAAATAGTAATTCATGTGGACTGTAATCATTGAAAACTGATTCTGATTTCCATTATGATATTGAGCTAGTGTTAACAGAGTTGCAGTGGCTTTTAGGTTGTTTCCTAGCACCATTCAGGAAGCAGATCTGACTTTCAAAACTTTAACTTGTCCCCACCAGTTATGCTGGACCACATTTCCTAGCCAGTCTTTGATCATATAGTTCAGTGTTTCTGGAAAGCACCAGAAGGTGGAAGAAAGATATAGAAGAGAGCATTTTTCTTATACTCACCTAACATTTGGTGAAGATCATCTTTTGAACTCTTTCTTCATAGGTTAGATGACTGCCAGACATTCCAGTTATGTTGGAACGTCATTTTTTGGGCAGATGTAGAGATGGGAAACTTTGCTGCTGAACTACAGTTTCCAACATAGCCGCCACCACAGTTAATAATGAAGAATGCTGGTTTCTGCAGTTCAGAACATCTTTTTTGATATCTTAGTGCTACCTTTTAGGCAACAAGCAAAGTCTAGCCTGTTATCAGAAGTACCCCTTTTAAGTTACTTTTTAAAAAAAAAAACGGTTGCTATTTCACTTTGTTTTCTTTTGTTGCTTTATTATTTTTATGCTAGGGTATTTAGGTTTTTGTTTGGATTTGCTTTTTAAGCTAACTTCAAGGTTTTATCTGGGTGTAAATTCCTCAATTAAAATACTGTAGTATTTTAATGATTTTGCACTATTGTAACTGTAGTTTGTAAGCTACTCTGAGAATGTTTTCAGGGGTAAAGAAAAAAAACACACCAACCAACCAGCAACTAAATTGACAAGGACTGACTCCAAATGACTATCAGTCTTTCCCTTTCCTTTAAGGGCCCTCCCAATACTTGTGAGGCCAAGACTGTTTTATTTTCTATGGCAGTTGCTGCTGCAGGAAGAAGAAAGAACTAAAAGTTGCAGGTTTGGGGCACAACTAAAGGCTGGTAGAATGGATGGCAGCTAACTCTCCCCCAATAGGTATTGGACTGATTTTTACACTATCTTATTTCAGGCCACAGTTGAAGATATGCCTGTTCATCCAGGTATTTACGGGAATACTATCTTAGGATCAGAATAGTTTATCTGTTATTTAATTTGCTTTTCAAACAAGCCTTTTATTTTTGTGGGTTTGTCATTTATTGTTTTCTCAACACCCATTATTACATAGTCTTATTATATTACATAGAGATGTTTTTTTAACTATGCAACTTAATGATGTTGTGTTCACTCTTTTCCCTCCATTCTTCCTTGTTTATACAGTCACCTGAAAAAAGAAAGTGACAAGCCCCTTTAAATGGACCCCATTCCCCCACAATGATGTCATTATCCTTTGTTGCTGCTTCTTCTTCAAGAAGAAAACCAACTCACCAAACCTTGGATGAGGGAGAAGCTACCTAGTGACACAATTCCCTAAATCATTCAACAAATCCAAACAACCGTGGTGGGAGGGAGAAGGGTAGTACAAGGGAAAATATGAAACATCAGAAAAAGGATTTTGGACAAATGGCTCCACATTTCCTTGTTTCAGTAAGAAAAGGTATGAATTATCATGCATTCCTTTTCTCCCTACCATGTCCCGACCACCACCACCACCACCACCACTCTCTAGTCCCAAGGTGGAGGTCACTAAAAGCATAATGGGGCTAAACATGCCTCTCTTTTTTGTACCTTGACAACCAGATGATTTTGAGGAGCTCTACATTATCAGACTTTCAAGAAGGCATTTTCATGTTCCTCTTCAACCCTTGAAAGACTGGGCCAAGTTAAGAGGTGCATAGCACCACAAGATGGTTTAAAGAGAGCAGCTGCCTTTTTATCCATGCGTTGAGAGAACTTTGGTGATTCTGGAAAATACTGTGGAATGACAACAGTGTGTTTCCCTCTCGTTTTATTGGTGAGGGAGATTAATATGGCCAAACAGTGCAAAGCATGGTTGAAACTGTCTCTGATGGCAACTGCTCCTTTTCCTTTCACCCATTCCAGTTGATGTACTCATGCACATCCCGTTAGACGTGGCAGTTTTGCGTAGCAATTTGTGAATCCTTGATCTCCCCATGTGTGTGTCTAATTTCACAGTTGTATATCTTGATCTGTCCTCATATATATATTTACATAAGAACATTAAAAGAAAGTCAATTATGGGAGAAGAATCTCCCTACACAACCAGTTCCACCCAGCACGCACATGGGTGTGCAGATGCACGCATGCGCGTGCACGCGCGCACACACACACACACACACACACTAATTTATATATAAATGCAGCTCTTAAAGAACAAAACCAGCCAAATAGCCCCCCCCCCCAAAAAAAGGCTTCCAAAATATTTTAATGTTTGCTTTCTGCATGCCCAGGGGCTATTATTATCAAGTAATCAAGATTTTAAAATTACATTCCCTGCTATTTTGTTGCAAAGTAGGGAAATGAAAAAAGTTACCTTGAAAACAGGACCTATTATTCTCTGCTGGAGTGGAATATACTTTTAATATCTTTTTCCACTATTTTTGCAGCTCGGTAGGTCCTTGTGTTTTGGCAATTGCATGGAGTTCTTGAAATTAGCACCTTGGATAATTGCAGCACCTTATGATTTTATCAAGGATTCATTCTATTCAGTCTATATAGTAGAGGAGTGCACATGTGAGAGAGCATGACTTGGTCACCTGTATGCACGTTTGACTTGTGGATCCTGTTCATGGCATCCTGAACATTGATTTATGCGGATGGGACACTTTTCCATCATGTAGAGAAAATCCTTGCCCAGGTGAGGGAATGAAGCACCAGAAATAGGAGTTATAGCTTTTCCCCCCAGTAGTATCTTTTAACAACCATATTCAGTATGCACATGCCCAACAATGAGATTTGTGAAATACTGATCACTTTAGCATAGTTTTTAAGTTGGTGATGAAATATCAGCCAGAATTGGGGAAAGACAGTGGACATTTTCTCCACTGCTAGCAGAGAAAAAGAGCAGGAGATTAAAGGGATGAGGCCATACTTAATTACTTTTAATCTCAGAGCATCTTTAAGATGCTTGGCTGGAATCACATTCTTTGGAGTGCAAGTAGCTTTTGTTGAAGCTCTACTTCCTTCACAGTATAAAGACATGTTTTATTAGCAGGCCTGAGCTAGGGAAATTAATGCGTCAAAAGGTGCTACAAGTGGAGTAAGTATGCAGCTGCGAGTGGGCACAAATGCCCACCTATCCACCATAGGTGGCAAAGAGATAATGGCATATCTGGGCAAAGCAAGAGGTTGGCATGAAGTCAAATGGATACTTTGTGCCACTTGTCTTCATAGGGAAGGTCCTCGGGCTTAGAGGATTAGAAACACTCAAAGACACAGGGCGTGTATATAAAACTGCACACACTAGAGGGTACTTATATACAGATTCCCTAGCGTGAAGCGCCCATTCAAAAACCTCAACCTACTAGCTCCCCAAAAATGATTTCGCTGTTTTCCCAATCTTTCTCTGCTTTGCTTGACGTCAAGACACCAAAGGGGGAACGATATGGCCAGAGCAGCACGGCTTCCTCACGGAAAAAGCCAAACTGCAACTCCTTCCGGCCGTTTCAAAGTTCGGAGCCCTCTTTCCGGCTTTCCCCTCCTTCCCGTTTCGTCATTGGCGGGGCGCGGTCTTAAACTGGCCAATAAAAACGATCTCTTTAGCATACGGCTTTTACGATGCCCAAAGCTTAATTTTAAGGAATAAATACATAACTCCCGCAGGAAATACGGTGGGGGTCTTGTTTTTTTTATATAATTGCTTTTATACTGCCAGCGATGGGACAGAATGCGCTTTCGTATTTTATTCACCAACACCTGAAACGTGTTCTGTTCTCCGTGGGTGAATGCCGCGCGCCCTTCCATCTCAGTGACTTCAGCTCTTTTTGTATTTGTCTAGAAGGCTTTCTGCTGTGGCGGAGAGCCTCCCAAATTTCGTCAAAATAAGATATGTATCTATGTAAGAAATTAAACGGCTGCGAAGTGCTTTTGTTGTCGGAATTTTTTGTATGTCTCGGTCAGGCGCCCCAAACAATTAGAGCGTGGAAGTTGCACGCGCTGGCTATCCTGTTTCGTTTCCTAGGAAGTGCAAAAGGGGCTGCGTTTCGTCACAAGGTGGATGGTGGATCTGCTTGGAATTACAGGGCCATAGAAGGGAAGTTAACCATCCTCAAAAGCAGCACAGACGGCCACTTCCTATTGACGCCAAGAAAAGGCACGGAAGCGGTCGATCTCGACTCGAAGGTGACTTCAGTTTAAAGCTGCAACATTTATGAAGTCAATGCAGAAGTAATTTTGGGGTGTAGCATTTTTAATTATCTGTATAACAACCTTGCATACCAAGCCAATGCAATTTGCAATTTGCCTCCGAAAAAAAAAAAACCACTACCAAGAGTCCTAAACTTGTTCAGTAATTTTACGAGTAATACGTACAGCGTGCCTACAAAGAATTTCCTAACTTGTAGTCCATTCAAATGCTACAGCCCACCCGCTTATTTGGGGTGTTTTCGCAATAACCAGGGAAGTGGCTTATTTTGTGCAAACTCCAGCAACCGGATTACTACGAGATGGTGTGATGTGTGTAAATACGGCCCCAGAACGGCCATCCAAGCCGACCATCTCCTGTTCAGCCTACAGCGTGAGCCTCATGCCAGCGATATGGAAGAAAACGAAGAAACACCTTGAAAAAAAAGAAGAAGAGAGAAGCCAACTTGTTTCTTTTCAAGGCTCGTCCTCCCCACTTGGGATGTCATCTCGAAATACCTTCCCTCCAGGAAATGACCACAAAGCAAAGGCTTCACCTGGCTATTCCGCTTTGTGCCCGTTCTCCCCGATTTCTTTCTTTTTTTTAACCCGGATTAAAAAGAGAGCCGGGCGTAGCCGCAAGGAGCGAGCTTCCTTCGGCGAGTTGAGACCCCAAAGCCGAGCGCCTCTGCCTCCCCTCTGCTTTGCAGCCCGGAAGTGGGAAAGCGGAGAGGCGGGTTTCTGAGCCTAGGAGGAGGAGGAGGAGGGTCCTGGAGGGCTGCCGAGTGCCTTTGCAGGAGCACAAGGGCGAGGAGGGGGCGCCTCTCTGCCGGGGTAGGGAGTGGCCCTGCCCGGCTCTGGAGCAGGAGCACTTTGCAGGCGGCCGCGCGGAAGAGGTGCGCCGCCCATCCCGCCGTTAGAGCCTCTGCTGCTTTCCCCCTCTCGGTCCACCGTATGTCAAGCCTGCAGCGCCCCCCGGCTGCTTCGGCCCAGGCCCCGCCGGTTTCCTTAAGCGCGGAGCAGGCCAAAGGTGAGCCGGCAAATCGGAGCAGATTTCGAGGGAACGCTAGCATGCCAAGGGGCTGCTGACAGACACGGCGATTGCCACAGCAGGGACCCTCCTGCGTGGGGACAGAGCTTGCTTCTTCTCCTTCCCCCCGCCCCCGCCCCCCACAAGGCTCTGGCCCAGATTTTTCTGCCGCTGTCATTGGCGTTGGCGCTCGGGCTGAACCCTGCCCAAGTCAAGAGCGAGAGAGAAGAGCGCCCTGCCAATCACAGAGGCAGCAGGCGGCTGGAAAATACATCAGGGGTCCGTCGTCCCTTAAAGGGAGATTTGCGTGACTATTTAATAAAGGGAATGATTTCATTGGATTTCATTGGGCAAGAAATAGGCCATTTTGGTATTTAAGGTTTAAATCTAGAAATCATGGGTTCTAATTTTGGGTACCACAACTCCCCCCCCCCCCCGTGGCTTGTGCAGACAAAGGATCAGAGTCTTCTGCAAGTTTTGCAAATGGTGCTCTTACTCTGCCTGTGCAACCTAATCAGGTTTTAAAAAATGGTGCTCCTCCAGGTCCCAGATCCTGGAGTTCTTGTCTACAGCTGATTGCCAGCTGAAAATACACTTTTCCAAAAGAAGTATAGAACCTTTTTTCTTCCCTTCAAAAATCCATTTGTGAGAGAGCTGCTGCTTGGATTAAAAGGAAGTATTTTTAGTGAACAATCAGACATGATTTTTAGGTCCTAAAACCCTTTTTATAAATTTATTTGTCTTTCTGTCGATCTCACATTTATATACCTATCTATCTCGCATAGTGACTAGGAGCTTCATAGTGAAGCTTGGAATATTATTATTTGCATGTAACAAATGACCCTGTTGCTAGGCCTGGACAGGATCAAATAAAGTCTTGTCATAATGTATCTTTCCAACATCCTCCTTACCTTATCTCTTTAGCTGCACACTTTTGAACAGTTTTTTTTTTTTTAGAAAAGTGAAACATTGTTTTTTAATGTCTTGATCAAGTCTATATCATTATGGCCCACAAGGTATTTTCTGTGAACCACATTGTGGCCAATTTCCTCCCAATAATCTATAGCATCTTCTAGCATTCCCCAGTAATGCTTGTCCTTAATACTGTACTTTGATATTGGCACAATAGGAATTGGACGCTATTGCTCTTAGCACATGCTTCAACTCCTGGGGATGCCGTCTGGGGAATTCTGGAAGTTGAAGTCCAAATATCATAAAAGTTGCTAAGTTTGAAAAACGCTGCTTTAGACCATCCCTGGTTGTCTCAAGATGGCTGTTTGCTCAGAGGAGAATGAAATGCAAAGGCTGCCATTCAAGTATTCAACTTCAGCTGGTGGGAATTGTAATACAGTACAACATTTCTACTTTCTGTTTAGTGGTTTTGGCGGAAGTGATCAAGGCATTTGGATCTCCGGAAAATGCCCAGCGCCTGGAGGAAGCCAGGGACAATGCCTGCAATGACATGGGGAAGATGCTTCAATTCCTGCTTCCTGTGGCTACCCAGATACAACAGGATGTGATCAAAGCTTATGGTTTCAGTAATGATGGGGAAGGTAAGTTCAGGACTGAATTAATTGGCAGGGGCTGGGAGAGGCTGATTTAGCTGTTGTGCTTGGTTGGTTGGTTATCCAGCATGTCCAATGATCTGAGCCACGGAAGGCAGTCTTTATATTTATCAAATTTAGAACCTGCCCATCTCTCTCACAGAGGGACCCTGGGTGGTATACAAAAATATATATAAACCATAGCGTTATAAATGATCAACTCATGGGCTGCAAACATCATAGACCCATTTTTTTTTGTACTCCTCGACTCTCTTCATGATCAAGTCAAGAAAATTAGCAGCAAAAGGGGAAGAAGGTATTTC